CCCCGAATTTCCGGATTGCACAAGGGCAGAATTCACCTTGACACCAATGGGCAGGAAGCAAGGGAAACTCAGCAACAGGACATGAATGAGGTCCTCGCATTGGCAGTCTGTGTTGGCATGAAGTTTGCAGGGTCCGCGCAGAGCAGTCTTAGTAGCAGTGACTGAAACAAGAGAAGGGGTGAGGCCAAGAGAATCTGAATTTGTTCAGGATGTCTGGTTAAAGGGAGAATTGGGAAGAATTCTATTTCTTCCCACATGTCTAGGTTCTGGTCTGCTTTCTGGCCGGTGAGCACGGCTTAAGGCCAGAAAGATGGCAGACAGCCCTAATCAGCAAACTCCAATCTAAAGAAATAGACCTTAGCCTTACATCCAAGATAGTTAAATGAATGTACCCTTCTATGTTTTAAGGTGGCATATGATCTGGAAACATTTTATTTTTATTCACACACTGTGAAGTTCACCTTTTCAAAGTGTACAATTCAACGATTTTTAGAATGTTCACAAAATTGTGCAGCCATCACCCCTCTCTAATTTCTAGAACATTTTTGTCACCCCAAAGAGAAACCCTGTATACATTAACAGTCGTTCCCATTTCCCTTCCCCCCACCTCCTGGCAACCACTAATCTGTTTCTGTGGATTTGCCTATTCTGCACGTTTCACCTAAGCAGAATCATGCAAAATGTGGCCTTTTGTGTCTGGTTTCCTTCAGCATGCTGTCTTCAAACTTTAACCCATGTTGTAGCATGTATCAATACTTCATTTCTTTTTGTGGCCAAGTAATATTCTCTTATGAAACTAAACACATTTGTTTATGCACCTGTTGATGGACATCAGGTTGATTCCAGTTTTTAGCTATTGTCAATGATGCTGCTATAAACATTTGTGTGCACATTTTTGTATAGATAGATATTTTCAGTCCTCCTGAGAAATGCCTAGGAGTGGAATTAGTGGGTCCCATGGTAGCTCTAGGTTTAACTTTTTGAGGAACCGACAAAATATTTTCCACAGCCGTGGTACCATTTTATATTCCCAATAGCAATATACAAGAGGTCCAGTTCCTCCACATACTTGCCAACGCCTGTTATTTTCTATTTTTTAGTATAACAATCCTAGTGGGCATGAGGTGGTATTTCATTACAGTTTTGAATTTTATTTCCCTGATGACTAATGATATACATCTTCTTATGTGCTTTTCGGCCATTTGTATACCATCTTTGAAGAGACATTTACTCCAATCCTTTACCCATTTTTAATGAGATTGTCTTTTTATTATTGAGTTGTAAGAGTTATTTATATATTTATATATTTCTGTATATATTCTAGATACAAGTCTCTTATCAGGTAATGTGATTTGCAAATATTTTCTCTCATTGTGTGGGTTGTCTTTCCTCTTTCCTGATGGTGTCCTTTGAAGCACAAAAATTTTCAATTTTGATGAAGTCAAATTTTGAATCTATTCTTTCTTTTGTTGATTGTGCTCTTGATGTCATATCTAAGAAACAATCGCCTAGTCTAAGGTCATAAAAATGTACACTTATGTTTTCTTCTAAGAGTTTCTTAATTAGCTTTTACATTTAAGTTGATGCTTTTAATCTATAATCTTGAATGAGGGGCACCTGGGTGGCTCAGTCCGTTAAGCGGCCGACTTCAGCTCAGGTCATGATCTCTCAGTCCGTGAGTTCAAGCCCCGCGTCGGGCTGTGTTCTGACAGCTCAGAGCCTGGAGCCTGCTTCGGATTCTGTGTCTCCCTCTCTGCCCCTCCCCTGCTCACGCTCTGTCTCTCTCACTCTCAAAAATGAATAAATGTTTAAAAAAATGTATAATCTTCAATGAAATTTAATGTTAACACTAGTTACTGTTTTAGTCCTTCTTCGTATTAACACAGGAAAATAAGTTGTAGTTTGATTCTAAGTTTATTCACAAATGTGAGGCTTGGGATTCTCCTGGGAAGGGTGAGAATGAGGGCTATGGGGGATATTGCTGGGAGTCCATTCCCAGTAGGTGTTGGTGAGAGAAATAAGCACCAGCCACTGACCTCACTAAGAGCTGGAAGAATAAGATTTCATGTGCTCCTAAAAGGAGTGTGAGGGAAACACAAAGATACTGCCAATCTACCAGTCCAGGCCCACTGACAGGAAGTATCTCTTCTGTAATTTTTTAAATATTTGTTTAATGTTTATTTATTTTTGAGGGGGGGAGGGGCAGAGAGAGGGAGACAGAGGATCTGAAGCGGGCTCTGTGTTGACAGAAGAGAGCTCAATGTGGGGCTCAAACTCACAAACCGCAAGATCGTGACCTGAGCTGAAGTCCAACACTTAACGGACTGAGCCACGCAGGTGCTCCTCTTCCCTAATTCTTAATGTTTCCCCTAAATTCAGATGGGTGTGGTTTTTGCATGCTCCTACAATGAGTAAATACGCATTCCATGATCAAGTGAAATTAATACCTGTTATTTTATAAATATTGACAGCAAAATAGTGACTGTGTTACAAGGTTGTATAATTTTCTGAGCAATTACTTTTTCTGTCTCAGAATCTTAGACTTTTTAAACTTAATAGATTACACGGAAGTGTCTAAGAATACTTTTGAGTCATTGCACGGACAGGCTTGCTAATAACTACTAAAACATTTAGATGCAGCAACCTCTGTGGCTATCTCTTGAGTTTGATCACTAAACTCATTAGGTTCTCTATCTGCAAAGAACAGCATTGTTAATGTTGCCTTTATGACATCAGAATAAAACAAGATGTGCTTTAATAACTAGTGATACCCTGCTGCACGACAAGTGGGTTACACAAGGAAGTGCAGCTAATAATAAAATGTTCGTGTCAGTGAATACTGTCATTACATACAGATTAAAGAAATAAGACTATTTTTAGTTAATTGCTGGTATTAATCTAAAATTCCAATGAATCAGAAATCCTGTATTTAGGTGAGTTCAGAAGTGCATAGTCACTACCGTCATTCTAATAAACAATGTCATTTGGGATATAGTACTACAATCAGTATATTTTTAATACCTAGGACAGTACTTATTTTTGAGGTTTTGAGAAATGTATTGATGAATCAACAGATTCATCAGGTGGGAGGGGAATTTCCAAAGAGGTGTTTTGTTGTTGTAGCAGAACAGTCCAGACTCATAAAGGACCATGAGGAACAGGGAGATAACCTTAATGCTATAGGGAACCAAGGTGTTGGAAGCAGGTGGAAATGACCCATGTGGGATTGGGCTGTGTCAGGGTATAACTGAGGACAAGAAACTTGAGAATCAAAGCTCAGTGGAGCTTTTTGGGCTCATAGCTTTTGTCGTAGATGAAGCTTAATTTGAAATGGTTTTTGACAGTGTCTTTGCCAGATTTGGATCTGTATTTTAAGAATGAGGTCTAGATCTCTTCAAAGAACTAGTTACTATGAACTGCCATGTCCGTGTCCCTTAGGTGTGCTGTAACACATACCTCATGGCCCCGTTGCGGGCACAAAATTCAAAATGTTTGAAAGTGAAAAGTGATCTCTCCCTCACCCTCTTTTTGGGTCTGTTTCTGGGCTCTTTCTGATCCTTACCTTTTACATTCAGAGGTATAGTCCACCTGGAATTGGTTTTTGTTTATGGTTAACTCTCTTTTCTCCCTTTTTGTAAAAAAATCTACTCTATCCAGCACCATAAATCCCAGCTTTGTAGTGACACCTTTGTCACCATGTGTCTATATGGACTCTATTCTGTTCCATTGATCTATTTGTCATTATTGTCACCAATATCACACTACATTGATTACTGTAGATTTATAATATATCTTAATATGCAGTAGAGTATGTCCTCATAAATTGTTCTTTCTCAGGAATGTTATGGCTATTCTTTACCCTTGACATATTCTGTGCCTTGGAGTCTAGAATCTTCTTGTCAATCCCACAGAAATTAACTCACTACAATTTTGATCGGGATCAAATTGACTATAGATAAACTTAGGGAGAAATGACATCCTTACTATTTTGAGTCTTCTAATACATTGATGTAATAACATCCTTCCATTTATTTATGTCATTTTCAATTTTTCTAAAAGTGTTTTTAGGTTTTCTGTATACAAGTGTCATCTTTTTTTATTGCTAACTATTTTATGTTTTGATACTATTGTAAATGGTATTGTGTTTACATTTCATTTTTAAAAAATAAATAATAAATTTCAATTTTTTAATGGTTTGATGCTCAACCAAAGAAATTCCATTGATTTCTGCATACTAATCTATATCCTGTAAGCTTATTCAAATCACCTAATAATTCTAATACTATTCTGTAGATTTTATTTTCTAAGAATGCAAAGAATTCAATTCTATTATTTTCTCTATCTATAATACTGTTATCTATTTTTCTTGCCTTATTATATTGACTAGGTCCACCAGTATATTTCTGATTTCAGAGTAAACAATATTAACATTTCACCATTAGGTACTATGTTTCCTGTAAGTTTTTTTTCCATAGATACCCTTTAACAAGTAAAGAATTTTTCTTCTGTCCCTTGCTTACTAAGAGGTGTTTTTTTTTAATGACTACATGTGCAATTTTATCAGTTTACATCTATTAAAGATAATCATGATTTTGTTTATTTCTTCTGATAATGTGAATTACATTGATTTTGTTTTATTTTTTTTAATTTTTTTTTCAACGTTTATTTATTTTTGGGACAGAGAGAGACAGAGCATGAACGGGGGAGGGGCAGAGAGAGAGGGAGACACAGAATCGGAAACAGGCTCCAGGCTCTGAGCCGTCAGCCCAGAGCCTGAGACGGGGCTCGAACTCCCGGACCGCGAGATCGTGACCTGGCTGAAGTCGGACGCTTAACCGACTGCGCCACCCAGGCGCCCCGGATTTTTGTATGTTAAAACCATCATATATTCCTGAAATACACTCAACTTGGTTATGATGTTTCCTTTTATATTTTGTTACATTCAGTTTGTTATCACTTTAATGAAGACCTTAACTTCTTCTTCTTTTTTTTTTTTTTAGTGTTTACTTATTTTTGAAAGAGAGAGAGGGAGGGGCAGAGAGAGAAAGAGAGAGACTCCCAAGCAGGCCCTGCGTCAGAGCCTGCTGTGAGATCTGCCAGAACTGTGAGATCATGACCTGAGCTGAATTCAAGAGTCTGATGCTTAACCGACTGAGCCACCACGACCTTAACTTCTAAGTAAAATATGTTAATTAGCAGTAGTCTAATGCTTTTGCTGCAACAACCAGAAAATGAAATGGATGAATTTTAAAATTATATTTGTGAAGATATCAGAGAGTTGTGGAGCAAGGAGGAATAGACGAACTACAATTCCAGAACAGTAAGAACTCTTCCTAAGTAAGCCAGTGATTGTTTTTTTGTTTGTTTGTTTTGTTTTGTTTTTCCTGATGGACTTGACTTAGCAGAGAGAATCTCCTAGAGGGAAAAAAAAACCCAGCATAATTTTTGACCATTACACAGGGCTTGTGTGACCTATTAGAAACTGGAAGAGCCTGAATGCAAGGCAGGTTTTCCCCCATGAGATATTTTTTGAGTTTTAGGGTGATGTATGAGGCTGGAGGCTGGCCCAGAAAGTCAGACTGTAATCTATTGTTCTGTGGTGCCTGGAGGGGAACATCCTACTAGGGGAAAGGAGCCTTTCACAAACTCATAACTAGACGGTCCCTGAGGCATGTGTACATGGGTGTATTAGTTTGCTAGGGCTGCTAACAGCAGCAAAGTACCACAGGCTGGGGAGCCTAAACAAAAGAAGTTTATTCACTTATGATTCTGGAGGCTAGCAGTCCAAGATCAAGGTGTCAGCAGGGTTGGTTTCTTCTGAGGCCTCTTTCCATGGCTTGAGAATGATGGTCTTCCCTCCATGTGTGTGTGTCCTGATCTCTTCTTACAAGGACACCAGTCATACTGGATTAGAGCCTACCCTACTGAACGCATGTTAACTTAATAACCTCTTTAAGGATTCTGTCTCCAAATACAGTCCCACTCTGAGGTATTTAGGGTTAAGACTTCAACATATGAATTTGGGGGATACAATTTAGCCCATAATAATGGGGTTGGAGGCTAAAGAGCTACACTCAAACGTCTTCTGAAGGACTACAGTTGTTTCAGGCCTGCAGAAACAGAGACATTACAAACTCTCAATTAGGCCCTGACCCAACTAAGTCACTAAGTGGATTGAAATCTGTCTGCCTAACTGAGGAAAAGGGCACTCACTAATGGAAGCTATCAGCTGGAGACTTCTTCTTTTACACATAAGTTGTGTCATATAATAAAGGATTATTAGACATGTAAAGAAGCAGGAAATAAATGGCCTGTGACCAAGAGAAAATACTAATAATAGAAGCAAACCCTTCCTTTCATTGAGAATGTTTTTATTATAATTGTTATTATTATCATTATTAATTTTAGAGAGAGAGCAAGAGTGCACGAGCTGGGGAGAGGAGCAGAGGGAAAGAGAGAGAATCTTAAGTAGGCGCCACACTCAGTGCAGAGCCCAACGCAGGGCTCGATCTCACAACTCTGGGATTATGACCTGAACCAAAATCAAGAGTCAGATGCTGAACCAACTGAGCCACTCAGGTGCCCCTCATTGAGAATCTTTTAAATTAGAGATTCAATTTATTTAAGAGTTAGTGACTTAATCTGGTTTTTCTTTCTTCTTGTGTCAATCTTGAATAATACGGTCTGGCTAAAAATCTGTCCCTTTCATCACATTTTTCAAAGCTATAATCATGAAGTTGTTTATAATATCCTTTTGACATCTTTTAATAGCTAAAGAGTTTGTAATGCTGGTGAGCAGGTGCAAAGCACCTGAAAGCTTGATTCACAACTGACCCAGGGATTCTCTTTTTCCCATGATCAGTCTCATAGGATGTTTATTATGCTCATTAGCCTTGTTCAAAAAGCTGTCTTTTGGGGCGCCTCGGTGGCGCAGTCGGTTAAGCGTCCGACTTCAGCCAGGTCACGATCTCGCGGTCCGGGAGTTCGAGCCCCGTGTCGGGCTCTGGGCTGATGGCTCAGAGACTGGAGCCTGTTTCCGATTCTGTGTCTCCCTCTCTCTCTGCCCCTCCCCCGTTCATGCTCTGTCTCTCTCTGTCCCAAAAATAAATAAACGTTGAAAAAAAAAATTTAAAAAATAAAAAAAAAAAGCTGTCTTTTGGGGGGTGCCTGGGTGGCTCAGTTGGTTAAGTGTCTGACTTCAGCTCAGATCATGATCTCGCCTTTCATGAGTTTGAGCTCCATGTTGGGCTCTGTGCTGACAACTCAGAGCCTGAAGCCTGCTTCGGATTCTGTGTCTCCCTCTCTCTTTGACCCTACCCTGCTTTCTCCTCTCTCTCTCTCTCTTTCTCAAAAATAAACATTAAAAACACAGTCTTTTGGCTGTGTTTTCTCCATCAATGTATTTTTCTGCTACTTTTCTGATGTTGTGGATAGAGACTTAGATAATTGTTTTTTTAGTGTTCCTTCTTTTCTAATATATGCACTTCATATGCTAAAAATTTCCTTTTGAGCATGGCTTTTACTATATCTTACAAGTTGTGACAAGTTTTATTTCAATATTAATCTAAAATATTTTCTGACATCCTTAATGATTTCTTGTTTGCACGATGGAACTCTGTAAGAGTATATTTCTTAATATACAACAAGTGAATTTTCTACTTTTAATCTTGTATTCATTTCTAGCTTGATTCTACTGTGGCCAGAGAATATACTCAATGTCATTTCAGTCCTTTGAAATTTGCTGAGAGTTGCTTTGCGGTCCAACATTTGGTCAATTTTGCTTAATTTTGCGTAAGTACTTGAAAAGTTTTACTTTTGCTCACAATTTGCCTGTTCATTTCTGGTACTCTCCTGTGGCCTGTTTATCTTAGTGGTGGTTTCTCTTGTTTCCTCTTTAAAAAAAAATTAAACTGTGAAATATAGCATGCGTCCCAGGAAAAGCATAATTCAAAAAATTGCCACAAAACAACCACACAACCCATCGTACAGGTCAAGAAATAGAATATTATCAGCATCTGAGGAGCCACATATGTATGTCTTTCTGTTTACAGTTTTACCTCTTTTCCAAGATGTCACCATTATCCTGATTTATAATAATTTTCCTGGGGCGCCTGGGTGGCTCAGTCGGTTAAGTGTCCGACTTCAGCCAGGTCACGATCTCGCGGTCCGGGAGTTCGAGCCCCGCGTCGGGCTCTGGGCTGATGGCTCAGAGCCTGGAGCCTGTTTCCGATTCTGTGTCTCCCTCTCTCTCTGCCCCTCCCCCGTTCATGCTCTGTCTCTCTCTGTCCCAAAAATAAATAAACATTGAAAAAAAATTTAAAAAAAAATAATAATTTTCCTGTTTTTCTTCATAAATGTACTACCTCTGCATGCATCTCTACAGGGTTTATTTGTGCCTTTTTATAGAACTACATTGTATATATTGTTTTGTGTCTTGCTTTTTTCCTCAACATTAGGTATATAAGTTTCATTTATGTTGTTTTATGTATCTCCAGCTACTGTGTAACATTCAGTTGTATAAAAATTTATTTATCCATTCTGTTGCTGGTGGGCATTTGGGTTGTCTCCGGTTTGGGGCCAATTACTAACAATACCACCATGAGTGTTCTTGTACATACTTCCAGATGCACATGTGTATGTATTTCTCGATGGTATATATCTTGGATTAAAATCCTTGGATCAGAGGGTATGTATATGTTCAACTTTATTGGATGCCACACAATTTTGCAGAAAGATCATACCAGTTTATAATCCCACCAGCAGTGTCCGACACTTAATATGGTCAGACCTTTCATTTTCTGCCAATCTGATAGGCATGTATCCCATTGTGGTTTTAATTTGTGCTTCCCTAATGACTAAAGGTAGAGCTCCTCTTTGTTTAGTGGTCATTTGAATATCAACTTTTGTACAGTATCTATTAAAGTCTTTTACCCATTTTTCTATTTGGCTGTTTGTCCCATCAGTTTCTAATAGTAATGCTCACTAGGGTTTGCTAATTATGTGTATTCTAGATATCTTTTCCTATCTTTTTTTTCTTTTTTTACTCCAATAATTCCTAATAATAATGGAGTCTTTTGAGGAACAGAAGTTCTTCATTTTAATGTGGTTAAATGCACCAGTCTTTTATGGTTGAGATAGTTTTCATCTTTTATAAACTTTATTTATTTAGAGAGAGAGTGAGAGAACAGGAGAGAGGGGCAGAGGAAGAGAGAGAGAATCTTTAAAAAAATTTTTTTAAATGTTTGTTTATTTGAGAGAGAGAGAGAGAGAGAGAGAGAGAGAGACAGAGCACGAGTGGGGGAGGGGCAGAGAGCTAGGGAGACACAGAATCTGAAGCAGGCTCCAGGCTCTGAGCTGTCAGCACAGAGCCTGATACAGGGCTCAAACCCACGAACCACGAGATCATGACTTGAACCAAAGTCAGACACTTAACCGACTGAGCCACCCAGGCGCCCTGAGAGAACGAGAATCTTAAGCAGGCTCCGTGTTCAGCTTGGGATCGTGATCACCCTGGGATCATGACCTGATCTAAAATCAAGAGTCAGATGCTTAACCAACTGAGCCACCCAGGTGGCCTTAATCTTCTTTAATAGATTCTTTACTGTCCTGGACCAGGAAGATACTTTCCTACATTCTTTCCCAAAAGCATTATAGTTTTGACTTGCTTATCTAGATCTACCGAATACGGATTTTTGTGTTTCTTTATTTCTTAAACATTTTATTCATCACTTTTCTATATTTTATTATTGATGCAGATTCTCATGAATGGTGGCTTGCCTTGCTCCCTCATGATCTTGATGATATTGTGTACTTGGTCTTAATCCATGAGATTCCCATAGCCCCCAACTGGGAAAGCTCTCCTCCAGAGAGGATTTGTTTCTATTTCTGCCTATAGCCAAAGCTGCCACCATCCTGGGGCCACTTCAGGGCTTTGGCTCAGTTCATCCTTCCCAACCTTGTGTTGGTCCAAGCCTCCATATCCTGACAGAAGTATCACTAATGTCATCATTTCCTTCATGACAACTGCATTTTTGTTTTTGCTTTTGAAGGAGAAAGGTCTGCAGAAACCTCCTGTACCTCTCGAGAGATGAACGATGCCTCAAAGAAGTGGGTTGTAATTAAGGTCCACTTGTTGCTTGGTGGATGGGTGCCTTGGTGCATCTGATTAGCCATAACACCGTACTTGGAAGTCCTTAGTAATAGATTTTGCATAGTGCTCCAGATCATATAGAGCTTCATCATTGTTTTATAAGACTGCATAATGATCTGTTATACAAATTGGGGAGGAGGGGCAGAGGGAAACACATGGCTCAGTCCCATGAACCCATGAGATCCCGACTGGAGATGAAACCAAGAGTCAGGTTTGTATTTTTGGATTATCTTTTGATGTAGTGTGGGAAATGTGTGGCCTGGGGGAGGTGTGGCAAGAGTAGAAACCAAGAAAACCTGTTGGGTGGTTGTTTGCTCATCTAGGTTTCATAACAGGGTTGCTGGAATTTAGCAGCACCAGAAAAGATGGAGAGAAATGAGTGGATTTCTCAGGGGGTAGAATGGACCCATGTAGGGTCTAATAAGGGAAGACAACCTCAAAAGACTGCTCTCTCGCTCTCACTCTCTCTCTCTCTCTCTCTCCAAAATAAATTTAAAACAATTTTTTTAAATATAGAACAATAATATTCTTCATTGGCAATGATGTGAAGGGACATGATCATACAGTTCTGGTGAAATCGCTACAATCTTTTGTAGGATAATTAAGCAATTTGGTTAAAAAAAATTAATGGGATAGATTCACTTTTAGGAATTTACCCTAAAGAAACAACCAGAAATGTAAAATTATCTATGTATAAAGACATTCATGAAGGCAATTTTCTAGTAGTGAAAAACTGTAAACAATATAAATGCCAATTCAACAAATAGGGAATTTGTTAAATAAATCATGGCAGTTTAGCATAGTATCGACGAGTGCAGGTCTGGAGCCAAAATACTTGAGTTTGGATCCCAATCCCGCTACCTCCCACTACCTCCTTGCTATGGGAACTTGGACAAATTGCCGCACAGCTCAGTTTCCCCATCTGTAAAATGGGGTTGTTGTAAGAATCAAATTAGTTAATACACAGAAAGTTCATAGAACTGTGCCTGGGGCATACTAAATTGTCAATAAGCGTTAGTAATTCTCATGATGTTAGTATGATCATCAACCATTAATACTTACCGTGAAAGAGACCTACAATTATTCCATACTGATAGATGGTGAAGGAAGGTTGAATCTCCATCCGGGGACCATGATGGTGGTAGGAAGGTCTGAGTGTTGGATGTTCTCGTACAAAATGTGGGTTCTGGGAAGAACAGCCAAGAGAGGGGAGGAGGAGGGGGCAACAAGACACCCATGACAAAAAAGTTCTGTTTGACACTCTTGCCTGGCCTGGCTATGCTTACAGAATACATCTACC